TACGTTTGCTTTGTGAACAATCCAATCACAGTATGTGATATTGGAAAAGGGCTGGCCTCCCTTGAAATTCCAATCTGCCCTGTGGCCCAAGGACAGTCGTGGCAATGTCGCTTAGTAATTCATCTGTCGAGATCGTACGCTGAAATTTCAGATTTCGCGTCTCTCTAGGGGTGTCGATAAGACCTGAGTGGGGTCGAAACTGCTGTCCAAACTGGATAAGAATACCTTTTGAAAAAGCATTGCTATGTGAAATTCAATGGGAACGTCATGTCTACTTATATCATTGTAGTAAAATTAAACTACTAGTCCTTCATCCTTTTATATAAAATAGGTGGAACACAGCCTATATTTAAGATAATGATGCTTAGAATGTTTACACCTAAGTTGGTGTGATAGGTTGATGAAGGACTGATACTTAACTTTTCGCATAATAACATGAGTAGGGCGCACATTACATTGAACTCAGTATAGCCCTGCTCCCAAAAGTTATTCCCGTCCAGTACGGATTGCAATTTCTACTTCTTATGAGTCCCATCAGCACCCCAGACGGGAATTCAACCCCGATGATGCAGTGATTAATTTCCACATGTCTCCCCTACACCACGCTAACATAGATGCTAGTTCATCATAGGATAGGATAGGAATTTATAGAAAAGCTAGGCCCTTCCAATTTCGCAGCATCTTAACAGTGGGATCGTCAATAGGCACATTTATATTTGCCATAACAATTGACTACATAACTCATATTCGAGTTAAGTAGGTCTCGAAAATGCTAGTAGATCTTCGATAAGAGCGAGGTCAAAAGCGCAATCCACCCTGGATTAAAATACCTTTTGTGAACCAATGCTATATGATCTTTATGGTGAACGCGATGCCTACTTATATGATTGTGGAAAAATTCTTCGATTAGTCCTTCATCACCTTGAGTGACCAAATATAAATAAGCTTTTATTTAAGAGCTCTTGGTAGTTTTGAACTCTACTGAATGCGAATATAAGTTGGCAACTGCAAGGATGAGGAAGATCAGGTTATAATGCTGGTTTGAGCGATAGAGAAATGCCCATTGGCGACTTCCATAAGGGTATCAATACAGAGAAAAACGATAATTTTGGGCTCTACCGCATTGTTTTCTGTAAGCATTTCATCAGCTACCATATAGATGACCACGAACGAAACATCAAAAATGGTGGCGCCTACGATTGCAAAGACCTCCATGACAAATTTCGTGAAGGAGAAGACTATGAACAAGACCAGCATGTTGACAATGTTAATGCTAGCGACCCATGGTCAAGACCATGCTAGCAAAGAAACTAATTTTCAAGAGAGCAACAACCCAGATTTATGTGACTATTTAGACCAAGACCACAATGGCGACGGCTATGAAAGCCAAAAGCTCGTTGGTATCATTCACAATGAAGAAGCTTCCTAAGGCAAAACTCGATATTACTACGACCATGGTAGCATCAAAAAACTTGCCTATGGTTAATTTACTGAATAGGAAGATGGCCTCTATCACGTCAGAACGACGAAAATGGCGAAAAATATAACAATAAAGAGGAAGGCAAAAAGCACATTTAATAAACTCCATATGGCAAAAATCAAGTTGGAAATGATGAAAATAACGGAAGAAATATACAAATTGACGAAGGGTTTGATGGCAAGGACCACGAGAAGAATAACCAATGTGGCAACATCAACGATAAAGGCAACCGTGATTGTAATGACCATGACATTCAAGAAGCCAACTACACGAATACTACGACCAAGGAGGTGAGACTGGCGTTGACTACGATGGTAACACCCACGGTAAAGGCAACGATCTAGGTATTGACCGCTCGGGTGATGACTATTTAGGTCATTACAATGGTGAAGCCCATGCATGCAAAGGTGATAATGGTGGCGACAATGAGGGTTTTAACAATACCCTAATGACGACTTACATTAAGGTGACGTCAACGATGAAGAAAAGCATGTTGGAAGCAACCCTATTCATGTCGAACATGCTGGCTACG